ATCTCAGGCAGTGCCCCCCACCCCGGCACCAGGCCAGGGGACCTGAGGCCATGCCCTACACCTTAGTGCCAGGCCGTGAGACCTGAGGCTGCACCCCCTGCTTGGCAGGGCTTTGACAGGGTACCTCAGGCCATATCCCCCACCGGGCAGAGTTGACGGGGGACCTCAGGCCGCGCCCCCCACCCTGGTGCCAGACTGGGAAACCTCAGGCCATGCCCCCCACCCGGCAGGGCTTGACAGGGGACCTCAGGCTGCATCCCCCACCCCAGCACCGGGCTAGGGGATCTCAGGCCATGCCCCCCACCCCGGCACCAGGCCAGGGGACCTGAGGCCATGCCCTACACCTTAGTGCCAGGCCGTGAGACCTGAGGCTGCACCCCCTGCTTGGCAGGGCTTTGACAGGGTACCTCAGGCCATATCCCCCACCGGGCAGAGTTGACGGGGGACCTCAGGCCGCGCCCCCCACCCTGGTGCCAGACTGGGAAACCTCAGGCCATGCCCCCCACCCGGCAGGGCTTGACAGGGGACCTCAGGCTGCATCCCTGGGGACCTCAGGCCGCACCCCCCGCCCTGGCGCCGGGCCAGGCAACCTGAGGCTGTGCCCCCCACCTGGCGGGGCTTGATGGGGGTTGGGCCGGCCAGGTCTGGATTTAGCCCAATGAGGATGGTGCCAGCTGGGTCTGGGTTTAGTGCGATTTTGAGACACCACAGGTGGGTGGGGACTTGACTTGGTCCCACAGCGCACCCCAGACTCTGACAGGAGGAAGATTTTCATATACATTTTACTAGTTTTCTTTCATCTCTGACACTTCTATTATAGAGAAAGGGCAAATAGCAATATTAAAATATTTCCTCTAATTAATCCCCTTTTAATGTGCATGAAATTTGTGCACTGGGCCACTAGTATTTAATAAGCCATAATTGAAAAATATCACTGACATCTTAATACCTTCAGTAGTTATACATAGAGTACAATATAAGTGACACCAATATACCAACCTTATTTATAATCCTGTCTTTCTAAAGTTTATCTCAGTCATTTGACAATATCACATGATGTTACAGATCTTAACTTTCACTTATCACTGGTCCAACATGCATATAATAAACCCACTAAAGCAACATTATACAAAAAGAGGAATTAAAAACAGTGTACATATCTAATATTAAGAAAATGATTAATTTGTGGTACTGTGGAATATTAAATGGAATGTTGTGTAGCCTTTGAATAAATTTGTTATGAAATATCTATAATAATAAAAGCATAATATGCTTATTAGACCAGACAGCCGAGAGACCTTCCAGACGACCTTTCGGCTGCGAGGGCCGAGCCCCTTGCACAAATTTTGTGCATCGGGCCTCTAGTTTACAATAATATAATACAGTATTTATATTTAGAATAGAATATTAAGCATATAGCAGAAGGATACAGAATTATAAGTATGGTCCTACAAAAGAATTAGAAGACACTATGAAAGAATATTTATGGTGTTTGACTTAATCTGTTTTTTATACTTTCCACACTTTTCAAATACTTTTAAATGAACCTACTGTAACAATTTAGAAAAATAGTTTAAGATAACCAATCATACCAGTTTTACTCCCCATTATTACATTTTTTAAAAGTCATGTGTTCACAAAATTATGAGTATAACCTCATAGAAAACTTTAAATCTCTTGTTATTTTCTGAATCTTAAAAACATTTTTTGTTTTTCCAGAAAGATAAAAATTACTGTCTCTCCAGAAATATCAAAAAGTGCAAGTAGCTCTTTTGCATGACTGCAGAAATAGCATTATATTGTAGCTTCTAAATAAGTATGAATTTATCTAAAATAATTCTAGCCAGTTAAATGGCTTCCACATCCTAAGAAGATCCCTTAAATTAACCAATTTAATATTTAGGCAATAAGGCAATTACTCAATATTTGTTTACTTAAAATTAAACTATTCAGTATCACAGTGACCAAGATTTCCATAACAGTCCCATCATGCATTTTGCTGCACCTTAGTGATTATCCCATGTGAACATTGTTACATCCATTCATAGGAAACAGGAATTATTCAACTGGACTCTACTGTGATAAAGTACGACAGCCTAGTTTTATATCATTCGAGACCAAATATTTGCTTCTTCAAAAATGCTATTTTTGTCACATATTTTCCCAGAATGTTAAGTAAGTCTATCATCATCATGGCCATTAAATAAAATAACTTTTGAAACCCCTTAGCACAATATTTCATACTTATTAGGCACTTGTTGAGTGTTTATTGATGAATGAGTAAATTAGGGGATGAAAGAATAAATGGTACTATCTTTTCTTTTGAATCCAAGCATATCTTACTATTATTCACAAAAGCAACACGTATGTATCAAAAGAGATATACTTTTGTTTATACAGAAAGTAATGTGAAACATTCATAAATGTATTGTGATATATTACATGTGATATCTTATAAATTCCATATTTAGATGCACATGTTAATTAAAATATAGAATAATCTTTGATTCTCAGATTTTAAATTTTATTTTAATACAGGGACCGCGAGGACTGCAAGGCGATGCTGGGCCTCCTGGAGAAATGGGTGCTGAGGTAATATTTTGTTGCTGTTTCTTGTTAGTTCATTAGTGCTTAATACTTTCTGTAAGACTCCTCAATGTATAATTGATATATTAAATATATATTATGGAGAATAATTCCATAGTGTTTCATTTCATATTCAGAAAGTAAAGCCTAAAATTCCATTAAAAGCAGATGACTATTCTGTGGACCTAATTTTATATACGTAAAATTTTCCTCTTAACAGCTAATTTAAATGACAGAATAGAACATGAATAAAACTTTCCCTTAACCTATTGAAAGTTAACTTGATAACTTTCTATGTTATGTCTTACTTATAGAAGAATATTGAAAATTGACCCCGGTTCATCATATATTCTGGAATAATAAACCCCAGTTGTTATGATTATAAAATCTAAATTACTATTTCTGTTGTTTATTCAGTTTAGCACTAAATAAGTTGTAGATAAATTCTCTCCTTCCTTGGCTTCTTTGCAACTGCTGTCTCTTGGTTCTGCTCTTTACCTTCTGATGAGCCTTTCTCAGTTTTTATGTGAAACTGTCCTTCTTCCTCATCTTAGCAGTCGTATGATCACAGTGACTTTAGCAGTATTATTCTGACAGCTCTCAGCTGGATAGCTCTAACGCATGCCTCTGTCTTCAGCTCCACTTACTTATTTTCTGCTGTCTTTTACATATGTACCTAGATATCCCACATCCATCTCAAATTAAAATATCTAAACCAAAACCATTACTTTCCCACTGTTCTATCTTCTGTTACTCCCATCTCACTGAAAGATAACCCTTTGGCCCACTAGTCTTAAATTGAGTCCTCCTAGACTTCTCTTCCTACTTCATCCTCTCCAATCATCCATCTTTCCCCTTAGAATAAGTCCCCCCCTCCCCTCCGCTATGTCTCAACTCTAACCTTTCCTTTTCATCACTATTGCCAGTACTCCGGTCCTCTGTTTTTAATCCCATGTCTCACCCAACTCCCATCATTTCTTAGCTTGTTGCCTGTTTATCTTTGTCATATCATCTCTCTCCTTAAAAATTTTTAACGGTTCTCATAGATTTAATAAAATGTCAATTTCTTAACATGATAAATAATATTCTACATTATTTAACCTCTGCAGATCTTTTCAACCACATCCCAACAAAACTTTTCTCCTCCCCTATGTGTTCAGTTCTCCTCCCCTATTTTTAATGCCATGATTTTTTGTTTTGCACTGTGTATTACCGGGGATAAAAGGATGGCTGAGATATGGTCCCTGACTTCTTTAGGAGTTTATAATCTACTAGGGCAGTGGTCGGCAAACTGCGGCTCCTTGAGTGTGGCTCTTCCACAAAATACATGCGTGGGCGCGCACGTACAGTGCGATTGAAACTTCGTGGCCACACTCAAGGGGCCAAAGAGCCGCATGTGACTCGCGAGCCGCAGTTTGCCGACCACTGTACTAAGGGCCCAGTGCATGAATTCGTGCAGCTTGAAAGGAACTGTGGGCCACAGGGCTGCGGTAGGCACAGGGGTAGGTCTCAGCCCATCCTCCACACCCCCGCCCAGCCCCTCCCACCGCAGCCCCTGGTCCTCTGTTTGCCAGCAGCCCCTCTCCTGCTGCTGTTGCAGCTCGCACCGGCTGACAGCACAGAGCAATTGGGGCGGGAGCCAGCAGCGGGTATGAGTGTGACCGGTGCCTTCAGCAGGTGCAAACATTGGCTGCTGCCCCAATCACCCCTCAGGAGCAGGGGGAGGTGGAGAAGCCCTCAGGGGCGATCAGGGCCGGGGGCCGCCACTCGCACCTGCTGATGGCACCTAGTGATTGGGACTGGCACCAGGCACTGGCAGTGGGTGCGAGTGGTGGCTCTGGTGCCGGGTGCAGGTGTGAGTGGGGCCGGCGCCGGCAGCAGGTGCAAGCACCAGGCAGGACCGCAGCTCGCGGGAGCAAAGAATTTTCAGTAACCACCAGTGGCTCACCCCAATGACAGCGGCTGGTGCCCCACCTTGTTCTGGCACCCCGGCTCACCTGCTCCGCCATCCCACCGTGGCCAACACCCGCCATGTTCCACACACGCCCCCTGGTGGTCAGCAGATGTCATAGCGACCAGTTTTTCAGTTGTTCTGGTTGTTCTGCCATTCCATCTATTTGCATGTTAGCCTTTTATTTTATAGGATTCTAAAACATAACCATACAAAAGATCATTATGTTACAATGCTTTAAACCCAATGATGGAGATATTCACAGGGGATTTAAGAGCACTTAACCTCACCTGGGTAAGGAAAACAGAAGACGTGTGTGTGCGTGTGTGTGTGTGTGTGTGAAGGAGGTATGAGATGAGTTTTAAGGATTGAGTAAGTGTCAGCCCTATGAAAAGAAGGAATAAGCATAAGGGAATTCCAAGAAAAGGGATGCATGAGCAGAAGCATGCAAACATGAGGCAGTGTGGCTTCACTGATACTTAAAGTCAAAGCAAGAAGTGATAATAGATGAAGTTGGATCATGAAAAGTCTTGTGTTCTCTGTTAAAAAGCTTGAACTTCATATGTTATGGGCTATTGTAATTGTAGGGTATAAGCAAAGTGGTGATAAAGTCAGATTTGAAATATAATCCCAGCAGTTGCAAGGAGTATGTACCTGAGAAGACAAAAATGAAGACATGTAGACCTACTAAAAGGCTGTTGCCTTCAACCAGGCAAGGAATGATGGCAGTCTGAACTAAAGTGGTAGTCATAGAAAAGGAAAGGAGGGGATTGATTTGAGAAATGTTTGTTATATAAATTGTGTAACCCTGCATATTTGTGGGATATGGAAAGTAAAGGGAAAAGAGAACTAAAAATGATTCCCAGATTTCTAGGTTGTGCAACAGGATGGATGGTAATACCCTTTTCTGAGACCAAGGCTTAGGGAGCTTAAGATCAGAATCTGCCTGACTGCCCAACCTAAATAGTTAATGAGTAGCAGAGTTGGGCTTTAAATCCACATCTGACTCCAAAGCTAATGATGATAACCTACTCTAATCCTCATCCTCTGAGCCTGAGGAAAGCTGAGAGAAGCCATACCTCATACCCTGAAGTTGTTTTAACAGAGTAGGAGACAAGAATTCTGTTGTGATGAGGAGTAGGGGTTGAGCAGATCAGTTGAGGAAAATATGCTGATTTAGAATAGTAGTTGAGGATAATGGAAGAGGGAAATGACAAGTTAAAAAACATATATACCTTATTAAAAGTCAAGCTGAAGCAGAAGACTGAATTTGCATTAGATCAATTATGATGAAGAAGATAATAGCCAACAATTCTGGAACACTTTCTGTGTGATTAGGTGTATTTAAATGTGCTTTGTTGTATTAATGAACCATTACAACACCCTATGAGGTAGATTCAGTTGTTACCCTCATTCTGCAGATGAGGAAACTAAGACATGAAATGATTAAGTATCTTGCTCAAGAGCAAAGCTAGTAGTAGTGATAGAGCCTACATTTAAATTTAGGTGATTTCTCTACACATACTATTCTCTTACCCACTGTGCCTCTCAACATGTAATGATACCACTTTGTACAAATGTGTAACTTTGCCCACCAGTATTCTACTGAGAATATAAATTTAAAAGGGAATTTTAAGTGCTAATTCGAGATTGGTATAAAAATAGGTACCACATATCTCTCCATGCTGTCGCAAAGGGTAAATTTTTCTTTCCTCTTACAGCAGAGTAGTATTCCATTGTGTAAATGGTATCACAACTTTCTTATCTACTATGCTAAGTCAAATAAGCCAATCAGAGAAAGACAAGTACCATATGATTTCACTCATATGTGCAATTTAATGAACAAACTGAAATACCAAGCAAAATAGAGACATGCTCATAGATGGAGAGCAGACAGATAACTGGGGGGTGGGGGAGGTGTGGGGAAGGATAGAGCAATAAAGAAAAAAAATGAGAGAGAACTCACGGACATGGGGACATGGACAACAGTATGGTGAATGCAGGGTGGAGAGGGGTGTGTGGAGAGGGAAGAGGGCATAGAGGGGATAAAAGGTGATGGAAAAAATTAAATTACAAAAAAGTATATAAAATAAAAAACAGGTACCACAGAGATCAGAATATCAGCTATTGGATTTAGCCTAAGAAAGGGATAAAAGAAACCAAGAAGAGCTGACAGATTAGGAGAAATTAAGAACTGGAAGAGGCCCCTGAGATTAAAAGCAATTTTGATATAGAAGAAATCCTGAAAGTGTTGGAATTCTCTCTCAAGAGATAAATTTAATCTCAGGGTGAGATATTAAATTCTGTCGTGTGGCTTAGTGGTTGAATATTGACCTATGGGCCCATTCCTGGTCAGGGCATGTGCCAGGTTGCAGGCTCGATCCCCAGTGTGGGGTGTGCAGGAGGCAAATCCCCATTGTGGGGCATGCAGAAGGCAGCCGATAAATGATTCTCTCTCATCATTGATGGTTCTATCTCTCTCTCCCTCTCCCTTCCCCTCTGAAATCAATAAAAATATATTTTAAAAGGTTTTTATTTTAGGTTATGTTGTTTTGACATTTTAACTGTTAAAAAGTCTTATGCCATGAAGTTTATAAATGAGTATCAAAGACCCTCTCCTGGACATAGATATCTTACCCTTGGGCTAAAAACTACTAACATCTTATGATGTTGTTATTGCCTTTGTAATTGGTTAAGGAATGTGTACAAATGATGTGTCAAATCATTCTCTTGTAGGGACCTTCAGGTATTGAGGGAGAGTCCGGTCTGCAAGGAGAGCCAGGTGCAAAGGTAACCTTCCTAAGTGGTAACGGCAGGCAGGCCGGGTGTGTGTGTGTGTGTGTGTGTGTGTGTGTAGGGGGGTGGGAGGGGTCTCTAAACTTCACCATTGAATCCCCTATGTTGGCCACCTTTTGGCAAAATCACCTTGAAAGTAGGTGAAGGACAGCAGATAAAAATGGAAAGTATTCTCAAATGAACTAGAAAAAAAATTTGTCAGAAAAATATTATCTGTATATGTGTGTATAGATAATATATATACATATTTATATATATGCGAAGGGATACAGAACTAGTGAGCAAAATATCAATAAATTAGTCTGGAGAAAAGGAAACAATGAGAAGTGTTTCAGAACCGCTCTCCTCATGGTATGCCCCCATAATTATTAAACATCAAGGTTCAATAGAAAGAGCTTACTCTTTCCCTTTGTGTCTTCAGGGAGATGTTGGACCTGCAGGCACTGCTGGAGTTACTGGGGAGCCAGGGTTACGGGTAAGGATCTACTAGAAACCATTTTAGTGCACTGCCCAACTATTTTAGACACTCAAAATCTAGCCTAAAGACCTCAAGAATTGCATAATAAACTTTTCTGTTGCATTTAGAAAATGTGTCTGTATTTTGTAATTTCAAAGCTCCATGCCAAACTCTGTTCATATTGCGATTTAGTAGCATTTAGAGTCCTAGCCTCATGTTCTTTTCTCAGAATCAGGTGTACTCTGCAGAACCCTTGCCAGATGTCACAGATTATCACTAATGTTAGCATTAAAAAGAAATTCACAAGTACTAGTGATCAACTCTCAGTCTATTTCCTGACCTCACAAGACAGACAAAAGATTGAAATCCAATTTATATTGAAAAATAACTAGTCATGTAAGCTCATTCAAGGAAATAATTGCAAATAGTTGTAAATAGATAGCTTACACAAGTTATTCTAATAGAGACAGCCTTTAATTTGATCTGTGGTAAGTTCTTTCCTAAGATAACAGTGCCTACATAATTTTGAGACATTTGTTTACTAAGAGCCAAAGTAGGGAGATATATTTTGCATCCAGTTTCTTCTATATTTTTCTCTTTTTTGCAGGAGGGTGGGGCAGGCAGTGTGGCATCAGAGTAATGCAAGTGTCAGTGGTGGGAGCAGTGGGACAACTGTGAAGATGCATTGATTAATTTACTTTCAAATAGTTCAGGTAGCAAGAGAGCCGGTGCTACTTTATTAGCTTCACAAAGCATGGCTCTGCCTGTCTATGAGTTCTGTATCTATAAGACAGCTTCTTGTTGTATCAGGGTCTCACTGTTGCTTCTCCTCTGTAAAAATAGACTCTAAAAATAAGGTACACTGAATTTAATGGGATTAAGTTTTTATTAATTCCTGTCACTTTAGCATAGCAAAGTACTATGATTTTATGAGCTGTGGCGTTTGCAGTTCTTAAACTCAGAAACAGAGGTCTAACTGTATAAATTACCAAAGCTGCCAAGTGAATATATATTACTTTTTATTATCTAAAAGTTACTGATTGTCGGGGGCCATCTTGTAATTTGAATTCACAACACTATGACTCCTTAAATCATCTTTAGAGCTGTTCTAGGAAAATGAAATCATGCTTCTATACTGTCAAATATTCCTTATAAATAAAGTAGAAGTAGGAATAGATGCTGCTTTCTATTGATACCAGAAGCAAAAAAATAAAATAAAATGATTTAGCAAACTAATAAATTTTTCTGTTTCTGCTACAAAATAGGGTGAGCCTGGAGCTCCTGGAGAAGAAGGTCTCCAAGGAAAAGATGGATTAAAGGTAAATTATATTTTTAACATTATGTATAAAGTAGATGTTTTTGTGAAATCTTTAAACTATTATACAGGGTGGGGCAAAAGTAGTTTTACAGTTGTAAGTATGTGAAACAGAGTTTATTAATTAATTATTGTATTGTTATTATTTTGTTGTTGTTAATCCTTACCTGAGGATATTTTTCTCATTGATTTTTAGAGAGAGTGGAGGGGAGGGAGAGAGGAGAAGAAAGAGAGAGAGAAAAACATCAATGTGAGAGAGACACATCGATTGGCTGCCTCGTGCAAAAGCAGGGGAATGATCCTGCAACCCAGGTATGTGCCCTTAACCAGGAATTAAATCCATGACTCTTCCATGCCTGGGTTGACGCTCTACCCACTGAGAAACACCGGCCATGGCTATTGTATTATTTTCCATATGAACAACTGTAAACCTACTTTTGCCTCACCCTTTATATAACTATTTTTTATGTTCTAAACAAAAATCTGCTTATTATGTGGTATAATTATTTTGCTACTTTCTCTTCCTTAAACATTTTTACTGGATTACAGGGGAGCCCAGGAGGAAGGGGACTTCCTGGAGAGGATGGAGAAAATGGAGAGACGGGCTTACCAGGGGCTGTAGGACCCTTGGGTAGACCGGGTCTAATGGGCCCTCCGGTGAGTACTTCTGGGTTCACCTTCAAATACTCATTGAACTCAGTCTCCTGTGCATACACACACACACTTGCACACACACACTTTCTAAACCTCTTATATGTGCCCTGAGTAATTGGAGGTGAAGAATTGTGGCTTGAGAGAGTGACAAACCAGGGTGATTATCAACCTACCTAACATTCAAGGAGGAAAGACACTGTTTCCATGTGTCACACGAGCCACTGAACTTTTTTTTCACATACTTTATTGAGATATAATTCACTTATACCATACTATGTTAAGTTTAAGGTGTACAACATAATGATTTGACATATGTATGTGTGTGTGTGT